AATGGATTGTACTAACTGCTCCTGGTGTCTGCGCTGTGTCCCTGTCGACTCATAAACCTTCTGTTCTCCCGGCTGGCTGAAAGTCACGTCGGGCTGTGGATGGGGGTGCAGGGCTCAGGGACTCCCCCACCCTTCGGTGACAGGCGGGAAGCGAAGTCCTGAGTTGAATCTTACCAGCTGGTGGGAATTGCTCATTTGGGACCAGCCCAGTGAACACCCAGTGTGGATCTTTGCCCTCAAAAGCAGACAGCAGCGAGGTAGCTCCGTCCAGGGTCCCCATGTGGTGCACTGCGCCAGTAGCATCCAATGCATGGCAAGAGAAGCCAAAGACATGGGACATGTTCTCTCATCCCCAGGAATCCGGCCCGATGCCAGTGAGGGTTGAACCCGCAGCTAATGTGAAACTTCCACAGTTAGGCACAAGAAGGGTCGGCATTAGGACAAGATGTGCACGTGGCCCTCAGGTGGATTTAGATCCCTTGCACGGTACATCCCCAGGGAAACATTTTTGGCAGCCCCCTCCTCCCCCCCAGGCGGTAGATGGGTGAGAACGTCACTTGGCACTGCAACGTGCCCCGGCGCTGCCTTGGAACCACATCTGCATGTGCTGGGACTTTCCTTCGGCTCTCCCCAAAGCCAGTCCCGCCCAAGGCCCGGTTCCGTGTCTCGCGAGAGCCGGCAGAATGCTGACCTGGCCACATCGAGAAAGATTTACAAGGCGCAGGGTTGGCCACCGGGACATTTCCTCAGCTCATGTAGAGGGGAGAGGTTGGGGGAGCGTCTGATGGAGGAAAGTCGGAGAGGAGGGTCGATATTTTCCCTTGGAAAAGCACCTGCAAGGTGACAACCTGTGCTGCAGACTTGGGCGGTGGGTGAATGGCTGGCCCCCCACCCATTCTGCCTGAAGCTGTGCCCCTCCCAAACTTCTTGGGTCCCTGCCCTTGTCCTCAGCCACCCAAGTGTTTCCAGCCCTAGCTCCCCTCCAGCCCAGGGCAGGCTGCCCAATCCCAGAGCACCACTCAGCCCCAGCCCCAGAGCACTGCCCAGCCCACTTCCGGGAAGAGCAGCAGCCTGCTGGGGCTGGGGCCCAGACTCAGGGGGAAGTGGCAGGCAGCAGGCAGTCTGGGGTGGAGCCTGGGCAGGACCACACAGGGCTGTTTGGCGAGGTGAGGCCTCTCCCGGCCTATGCTACGCACGGCCCCCGCCTACAGAAATATGAGTGTCAGGTCCAAAAGGAGCGCGGTGAATCAGTGCTAACTGCAGACACGCTGTTAAGACCCCCACGGGCCATACTGCAGACCCAGCTCGTGAAGCCACCGATCCAAAATTCGTCCAGGCTCTTCACTCAGCCTGGGTCGATTAGGCAAACTGGAGGAGGACACAAACACCTAACCACAGTAGGAGTCTCGCAGCCTGCAGCCACGCAGGCTGTCTCTTTGCAATGAGGGCTGGCCATCAGTGCTCCCTGTACACCGTGTGCTTGGGCAGCCACCTAGGAGAGATTCAGATGCTGGCCAGCTGATTAGCAGAGCGCCCACAGCCGGCAGCCTGTGTTTCTCCTGGTGGTGCACATCCACACAAGCCTCACTGCACATAATGCCATTTATTCTGTGCATGGATAGAAAAAATTTGAAGGAACATGGCTATTAATGCCTTGTGACAAGCTAATTCAATTATTCCTAATGAGATGAGGCAGGAAATGATGCATCGAGGCATGCAAAGAACAAAAGCAAATGCTAGGCAGATAATATTTGGGCCAAGTGTGACTCAACGCACAGCAAAGAGCATGCGGCAGAATGTGGAATATACCAGGGACATAGGCAGAGGAACTAAAGCAAACCATTATGATCTCATGAGAATCCAGATTTACCAAAACACAGGAGAGCACCAGGTATTTTTGAGTTTGGCACTTGCTCGTATCTACCACTAGTGGAGCCAATAGGTCTATCAATGGCTGCTAGCCAAGAGAGTCAGGGACACAGCCCTGTGCTCTGGATGTGCCCAGCCCCAGTGTGCCAGAAGCTGGGACTGGACAAGAAGGGAGGGATCACTTGATAATTGTCCTGTCCTGTTCATTCCCTCTGCAGAACCTGGCACTGGCCAGTGACACTGGGCTAGATACTGTGCTAGAAGGACCATTAGTTTGTCTCAGTCTGACTGTTCGTTACATAGGAACAGCCCTGTTGTGACACACCAAAAGTCTGTCTAACCCAGTGTCCTGTGTGCCAGTGAAGCGTGGGGCAGATACGCTTCAATTCCTCTTGGGAAAATCCAGGAGACCCAACCTGGAATTTTCACATGCCTCAGCTTTGACACACGGGGCACTTCTGATGAATGAGGCACTGCTAGGGCCGGCCAACACAACCTGGCAAAATCCTGCTATGGCATCCTCTACCTGCACACAGGAGAAGAACATAAGAATGGCCATGCTGAGTCAGAGCAAAGGTCTATCCGGCCCAGTGCCCTGTCTTCCAACAGCGGCCAATGCCAGGTGCCCCCGAGTGAACGAACAGAGCAGTGATCCATCCCCGGTCTCCCATTCACATCTTCTGGCAAACGGAGGCTTGGGACACCATCCATGTCCATCCAGATAATAGCCATTGATGGATCTATCCTCCCTGAATGTATCTAGCTCTTTTTTTAACTGTGTTATAGTCTTGGTCTTCACAACATCCTCTGGCAAGGAGTTCCACAGGTTGACTGCATGTTGTGGGGGGAAAATGCTTCCTTTTGTTTGTTTTAAACCCACTGCCTATTCATTTCAGTGGGTGACCCCGTTTTGTGTTATGTGAAAGAATAAACATCACTTCCTTATTTATTTTCTCCACACCCGTCATGATATTAGAGATCGCTCTCAGACCCCCCCCCCCAAGTTGTCTCTTTTTCAGGTTGAAAAGTCCCAGTCTTATTAATCTCTCCTCACTTGGAAGCCGTTCCATAGCCCCAGTCATTTTTGTTGCCCTTTTCTGTCCATTTTCCAATTCCAAGATGCCTTTTTTGAGATGCAGTGACCACATCTCCCAGCAACATTCAAGAAGTGGGCTTACCATAGATTTATACTGAGGCAATATGATATTTTTATCTTATTATCTATCAGTTTCCTAATGATTCCCAACGTGCTTTATAATAGTAAAGAGTACACATTGTAAGGGACCATTCCAGGCAAACACCTCTGCACTCTTAGAGCAAATGAACAGATTGTTGCAATAAGCCATAAATCTAGCGTCTTTAGTAAGGCCCTGATGTTCAGGATCTAGCCAGGTCATGAATGTCACCTTATCTTTGGAAGATATTGGACAGGTTTCCTTTGAGGACCAAGAAGTCTGATGTGGAGGGATGCCGTGATGGTTTTGTGTGAAGTGTTCACCTATGGCTAACAGAGTGCGTGATGGGTTGGATCACAGAAATCCCCTTGGAACTGCCCCCCTAGTGTGCTGATCAAGTCACTGATGCCTGCCTTCCTGCCCTTTGGGGCTCCCCACCATCCTGTCCTGCTGAGCCAGATCCTCTGGTGTCTCCCAGCCAAGGTACAGAGTTGTGGTTACCACCCCCCTGAAGAGCAACTCAGACACTGAACCAGCTCAGTTCTGGGAGGACTCAGCTAAAAGGCTTCAGCACCCGGAAACCAGCCCCCAAAAGGATCCAACACTCCATATAAATCCTCCTTATCCTGTGTAAAAGTTTTACACAGAAAAAGCTCACAAGGTCAGCCCGCTTTATCAATGAAAGAGAGATATGCACAGTGGTTGCTCCCCCACAGGTAACAATTATTTACACTAGGCTTGATAATAAATAAAAGTGGTTTTATTAGTATAAAAGATAGGATTTAAGTGGTTGCAAGTGAAAACAGAGTAAGGTAAATGACTAAGTTAAAATAAACAAGCTAGTTGTGATCTACTAAGAAATTCATTACATGCAAAGTCTTACCATAAACAGCTGATCTTATCTTGGGCACAGGTGACGTGTGGGGCGTGCACATGGGGCCCTAAAGTGGGAGGGGCTGGCCAGCACCCAACAGGAGAGCCAGCTCTGACAGCAGTGTAGTACAGCATGGCCCCTCCCTCCCTTCACCAGCCACAGCAGCAGGGAAGGCTCAGGCCAGAGGGCTCCAGCCTGCACAGCATCATTCCCCAGCTGTGCCGCCCTGGGGAGTTCTGGGAAGAGGCAGGTGGAGAAAGGGCTTTGCACTTGGGCAGCTGCCCAGGAGAGATTCAAATGCCACCCAACTGATTAGCAGAGCGCACACTGCTGGCAGCATGTGTTTCTATTGGTGGTGCACCGCTTAACATGCCTTTGTGCACATAACAAAATTTATTCCACACATGGATGGGAAAATGAGTGGGAACATTGCTCAGCGGTGTCCCTGAGTGACACAGCTTAACATTTTTCATATCCCTGAGTGACACAGCTTAACTTAGGTTAACCTAGCTTTTTAGTGTAGGCCAGGATGGGAAGAGGCAGTATGAAAGTGGGGTTGGGAAAAATGGGTTGGGCCTCAGGGCAGAGCAGAGGTGGAGCATCCACCTGGAAAGAAGGAAATTGGCTCCTGTGTCCAGTGTAGCAAGAATGGGCCTGGAAGAGCTGAAATTAAACATGTCAGTGGAGATTCTGGGAAGACAGATTGGAGAACTGGAAGGGACATGGGACAAGCCTCCTGCAGGAATCTGGCTTGGCTGCAGCAAGTCCGGGTGAGACAGGGGTAGCTGGGGCTGAAGGCCCCCTTGCTGTCGTAACCGGGCTTCCCCCACTTTCTGTTGCAAGGGTTGCCCACCCTGGTGCCATCCCTTGAGAGAAAGACAGTCCTGTCTGGATGGACAGGAACTCGGCAGGCAGGTTACTGGAGGTGCCAATTAGCTGAGCCCGCATCCATTTGCTTCTCCTGCTCCCTCCCCCAGGGCTGGGGAGTGACTGAGCCATGAAAGAACCCACGGCTGCGTCACCAGCTGCACACTGAGGGCGGGCACTGAATATAAAAACTACCAAGGGGCCAGGAGCCAGAGACAATAACGCCAGCTCTCCGGGACGGATAGACAGTCAGATAAGGGATCCTGCCTGACACGCTCCTCCCTGCCTCCCCAACTAAGATGGGCACCTACAAAGTCCGCGTTGCCACTGGGGACTTCCTACTAGCCAGCACGTTTAGCTCTATCTCTGTCACTCTGGTGGGGACCCACGAGGAGAGCGACAAACAGCTCCTCGACAACTGTGGGAAGGACTTCAACCCTGGAAAGGTAAGTACTAGTAGAATGGGGCCAGGCTTTGTGGGCAGATCCAGCCTGTAGGGACAACGCGTGTTTGACCATCAATCTGCAGCTTCTGGAGTCATGGAATCATTACAGGTGATGCTCCCCTTTTTGTTGCAAACACATTCAGTTTCTAGCTGTCGCGAGTGCACACTGGTGTCTAAACATGTGAATGTGGAGCAGGAGAAAGGGTGTGGACATAATTTATGGTTTTTCTTAGCACTCCCCTTGCTGGAGAGGGATGATCACACTAGGAGAATCAGAGCTTTCGGTTTATAAAATAAACTTTTAGCCCTTGGTAGTATGGGGAAAAGCTTCCCAACTTTGATGCTTCTGCCAGGTGAAAATGTCGGACAGAAATGTTTTTATTTTTAAATGAGAAATGAAGAGTCAGTGTCACTGAAACTTTTTTTTTTTTTTGCAAATTTGTGTCAGTCTTAGCAAATTGTTTTGGTTCAGGGAGGGGGGAACCCTAAAAAGTACCCTGCCCCTCCCCCCCCCGATTCATTTCTTTTGTTTTCATTTTAAAATTATTTTTCCTTTAATTTCATTTTTTAAGAAAGTGCAAAAAATGTTTATTAAAATGCCCCCAGTTGAAACAAAACGTTTTGTTCTGGGCTCATCCACCTGAAATTATTTTTTCCTCTGCCTTTTTGATCCACCAACTATTTCATTTTGGGCTTTCACTCAAAATGGCTTTGTTTTATTACAGGATTTGCCCAAACTGAAAAAATCCATTATTGACACAGTTGCACAAGGCAGGATGATCTAGTGCTTAGAGCAGTCAGCTGGGCTGTGGCTGATCAGGTTTCAGTGCCCTTTCCTCTCACAGCCTTCCTGTGTGAGGTTGAACAAGTTACTAAGACGTTCCCTGCCTCGATTTCCCCAACTGTATAATGGTGAAAATAGCATTGCCCTGCAATAGGGGGTGTGGTGAGGCTAAATAAATTACAGTGTTCAGTGGTGATGGATGCCAGATAAGCATTACAAATACCACAAAAAATAAAACAGATGGAAAATATGAAGCACGTTCCTGATTATGAGCCCAAACTCAGGATTGTTTTGGCAGTGAGGGTGAGCAATGGCATGTGAACACTTAACATTGGCAATGAGTTACCATCATCGTGTTGCAAATTCTCATGTCTTTGGTACCCATCAGGGCATGTCCCTCAAAGCCCCAGCACCTGGAGTCACGTGAACATTTTGTGGGGGGTCTATAATAATGGAGGGTTTCTGGGGACACTCCAGAGAGGGTCAATTCAGTGCAAATTGCTTAGAGATGGGGCTACTTACAGCCCAAGACGGGAGTCCTGCACTCTCAGACACCAAGGGCACTTCTATTCACCACACTGACTAGCAAGAACTCACGCAAGCAGTCCCCTCAGACATTCCAGTTCACCTGTGCCACCACCAGCACTGCTAGGGTTGCCAGGTGTCCGGTTTTTGCCTGGACAGTCTGGTAATTACACCTTCCATCCGTTTAAAAAAAAAAACACACACAGAAAAAAATGTGATTTCTCCAGATGGGAAGCCAGTGGGGACATTTTCCCCTGTTGTCTCTGGTGTGGAGGTGGGCAGCAGCAACCTTTTGTCTTTTTTTTCTCAAAAGATTAGTCTCCTATTTTTTTTTTTTTTTTTGCTCAGCAAGTTTGGTCTCCCGTTTCCCCCACCCCGTGCCATGTTTGGGCACTGCCCCTTGTACATGTGAGAAGTTATGAAAAACAATCTCACCAAAGAAAAAGGTTCCTCTGATCCCAAAGGACCAGCCACGCTCCCAGGCCAATTTATAACAGACCTTACTCAAAAAAGCATGCTGTGCCAATCCTTTGGACTCTAAAATCTAAAGGTGTATGAAAGAAAGAAAGAAAGAAAGAAAGAAAGAAAGAAAGAAAGAAAGAAAGAAAGAAAGAAAGAAAGAAAGAAAGAAAGAAAGAAAGAAAGAAAGAAATCAGATTACATACTCCAATTGTAAAGTTCTTGGTAGCAGAGGTGGAATAGTCTGCTTGCTTAAATCATGTCTCTGGAATATATCTTGTGTTAGGATGGGTCATCTGTCTTTCAAGCAGGGCTGGATTAAGGCATGGGCTAGCCGGGCAGCTGCCCGGGGCGCCAACCTATGGGGGGTGCCTGGTGGCAGCTGTAAGGGGCTCGCAGTGCCCCTTATAGCTGCCATCAGGTGCCACGCCCCTGGCTCCCGGATTGCAGGCTGCAGCAGCTCCTAATGGCCACCCTGAAGTGGCCGCCCAGGGAAGGGGCCACGTTAATCCCTCCCTGCGGCCGTGGGGCCCGCCCCGGGTGGCCCCAGGTTGACCACCAGCGGCAGCAGCCGGGCTGGGCTGAGCCGGGCACGTGCATCCTGCCGCTGCCAGCTCTGTGCGCCCTCCCCCACGCACCGGGCAGGGGCGGGGCTATGCATGCACCCTCCCCCTTGTGCCAGCACGGGGGCGGGGCCACGCATGCGCCCTCCCCCAACTCGGGGTGCAATTAAACTGTCTGCCCGGGGCACTGGAATGGCCGGTCTGGCCCTGCTTTCAAGGTTCAGTTCATAGCAAAGATCCTCCAGAAGTGAAGAGCTAGATTGAAGACAAAATGGAGGAACCTCCAGGGCGCTTTTAATATCCTTGGCCATGTGCAAGGAATCCCATTGTTCTCGGTGGAAAAGTACAGCTACAAAATGGAGTTTGTCACATGAGCAAGTCACCTGCCCAGGCATGACCGGGTTCTTTGTAGGCAGCAGCCATCGCCTACATGGCGGTCTGAACGCTCACAGATGTAAATTGGAACCCCCCTAGGCCCATGGTTAGCCAAATGCTGCTAGTCACTTGACTGCCAATCCTTTCACAACAGACGGGCCAAGCCTGTTGATATCAGCCAGAAGCAAACTTTTGAAATACAAGTCCCAAGCCAACATTCAAATACAACAGGCATGCAAATAGAATAAACAGCATCAGCCAATCACCAGCTTTTCATGGACACCTTACTTGGTCCCCATGGCACACCATGATTTGTATGATCATACCACAATCCTATAATGTCACAGGAGTGAAAAAAGCAGTGCCGAACCTGCATGGTGGCAGAGACTAGCAACCGCTGCTAACAAAACCAGGGCTCAAATCAAACAAATTGATGGGAGACGGAGTGGAGAAAAGCCACCAGAATGGTCTGAGAGCTGGAAAAACAAACAGTGATGGAAAGATACTGATTTTTTTAACTTCTCAAACAGGAGCTAGAGCACTGACTTGATCCCGGGGTGTAAGGTCCTACACAGGGAGAAAACTGCCCAAGACTTAGCTGAGCAAGACACAACAGCCCCAAGATCTGGAATTTAAAGTTGGCAAAATGCAAGTTAGAAACAAGCTGGAAATTTTTAAAAGCCCGGGGGAATTAACCAGGGCACCAAACTCTGAATGGAAGGAGCCCCAGATTGAAAGCCATTTCTGCAAGTCACTGGCTTCTACAGAGTGCAAAATGGAGTGAAAATGACTAGCCTGCACTAGACAGGCAATCAGACTAATGATCTAGTGGTCCTTGTGCTTGTAAATGTGTCAGTCTCTTTCATAGAATCATAGAACACTAGAACTGGAAGAGACCTTGAAAGGTCATTGAGTCCAGTCCTTTGCCCTCATGGAAGGACCCAGTACTACTCTAGACCATCCCTGGCTATGTCTACACTGTAGCCTTCTTGCAGAAAAGCTTATGCAAATGAAGCTTGGCATGGAATATCGCTGCACTTCATTTGCATAATTAATGAGCAGCCGTTTTTGCGCAAGAGGCTTTTATGCAAAAAAGAGCTGTGTAGACAGCTCCTTTTTGCACACAAACCCCCTATTGCACAAGAGCTGTTCTTCCTCAAAAAAAGAGGAAGAATGGCTTTTGCACAAGAGCAGGTTTTTGCACAAAAGGGAGCTGTCTACATGGCTCATTTTGTGCAAAAGCCTCATACGCAAAAATGGCTGCTCATTAATTATGCAAATGAAGCACGCCGAGCTTCATTTGCATAAGCTTTTCTGCAAGAAGGCTATAGAGTAGACATAGCCCCAGATAGGTGTGTGTCTAACCTGCTCTTAAATATCTCCAGAGATGGAGATTCCACAACCTCCCTAGGCAATTTATTCCAGTATTTAACCACCCAGACAGAAAGTTTTTCCTGATGTCCAACCTAAACCTCCCTTGCCATAGTTTAAGCCCATTGCTTGTTGTACTTTGTGGCTATCTTGTGCCATTTGCAAGCCAGAGCGTTACGAAAGAACATGGTGATAGGAGAAAATTGATTGGGGGGGGATTACAGACTCACGCTTGGCTGGGGATTCCCCAAGGGAACCCCCTTCAGTGTGACAGCCCCTTTTCAGGGATCCCTCAGGACTTAAGCCCCTCCACCTCCTGGGACCAGTGGCATAGTGAGCAGGGGGAGCAGTTGCTCCCGGGTGCCACGCTGGGGAAGGGCGCCACTTTAGTTCCCCTCCACTCCCCCTGTCATCCCTCGGCTCGCCTGCTCCTCCTCCACTCACCGCCACCAGCTGGAGCCTCCTCTCTGCCTCTACGCTCCCAGCCCAACCCTCCTCTATCTCCGCCAGCAGGTTAGTGTGTGCGGGGACCTGGCCCCAAACTGGAGGAGGTGGTGGAAGACACAGTACAAGCTCCTCCCCCATCTCCCAGGGTCGGGCTCAGCTGTGTGCCAGGTTAGGGCCCCCAGTGTGCGGTGACGGGGGGAGGCCCAAATTTTGCCTTTGCCCCTGGGCGCATAACACCCTCGCAATGCCTCTGCCTGGGACCACACCTCTCTGAACCCCCAGCATGCCAGTCTCTCACTGTGGCCCCCCGGGAGAGTCCTCACTCTGCACCCCCAGAGGGACTTGTGCAGCCCTGCTCTCTAGCCCACAGCGACTCTCAATCAGCATAAAACAGGAGAGTTATTGAGCATTGACCCAGCGCAGGGACTCTCAGAGCCCATAGGCCCAGCCTTCCTCAGACTAGCATGTCTGAGTCTGCCCTGCAGCCAGGTGAGCTCTGCCTGCTCCCTCTACCCAGTGCAGCCGCCCCCTCCTTCCAGTAAAGCCCCCATATCCCTCCCCAGCAGCTCCTCCCTCATCCTTTGTCTTCTGCCCAGGTAACCAAGGCCACCTGGGCCTCTCCCCTCCTCCATCTTTTGCTCCCTGGAACCAGCTGTTTGGATCACTGGGATCCTCTGTCCAAAGCCCATTGTCTTCCCCAGGCCAGACCTGGATGTGCCTTCTGAGCTGGGTCTCCTGTTTACTAGGTCACCTGTTGCTGGGGTCTCCATTCTCCAGGCCACTGGCCAGGTCCCCAGTCCCATACTGGTTCCTGTAACAATGAAAGTCCCTCTCTGCTCACTTGTTAAACCAGTAACACACAGGGGCACTGAGCCCCCCCTCTGCATGCAGCCCCTTCGACACCACCCCCCAGCATCCCCACTTCAGCACATCGGGGAACTTCCATTCTTGTCTGTCAAGGAAATCGGATAATCCAGCAGAGAAGCTGTTCTTGCAATTCAGGGGGGGGGGGGAGCGAGTTATCTCTGTAACTGGCCCTGCTGCAGCCGCTGCTGAGGTCCTGAATCCAGTTCTGGCATCCCTCTGGGTGGATAAATTGGAGAAGAGTCTTGAAAATGATGAGGAGCCTGGGAGAGACACTCCAGGAGGCCAACCCGTGCAGCTTCCCAGTGGGAAGGGTGGGGGTGCGACTCAATCCCATTCTGTAAACTCCTCCATGGGGGAGCAGAAATTTGATCATGGAGCTGTCAGTTTAGCAGAGGCAGATCTAAGACGAGCCAGTATTGGGGGGTTGAAGCCAGGCAAATGAGATCCAGTTTATGAAAGTAATTAACCAGAAATTACAACAAACCAGCCAATCTAAATTGAAAAACCACCAAGGACACAGAATCTTCTTCCCCGGGGATTAAGTCAGGGCCATGCTCTCAGAAATAATGGTTAAACAAAACCTCAGGACAGTCAAAGAAAGCAGCAGAACTTAATCGGATGAAAGGACTTTACCTTTCGCCCCACTCCCGGCCAAGAGTCACAGCCACGGAGCAGAGGAGCTTAGCAGGGCTTTTCAGGGGGATTAAATACTTTTATGAACAACCGGGACAGCATCTGGCTTTCCACCTTCTGCAGTAAACACGGGAAAGGATGGTTCGCTCAAGGGGCTGCTCTTCTGCCAGTTGCTCAGGGCATGGAAGGGAGGGACAAACAGCGTTGGCAGGTTTGTGCAACTTTCTCCTTGATGGGAGTGGCTTGATTTCAAGCAGGTGGGACTGGACATTGTGGGAGGTAGGATGCCAGGGTAGATGGGCCTCTGGTTTGCTCAGGGAAGCTCAGAGGAGGCAGGATATCGGAATAGATAAGCCCATGGTTTGATCCTTGGCTTAACCAGGAGATCTTATGTGATCTAAAAATCAAAAAGGAGTTGTCTAAAAAGTGGAAACTAGGTCTAATGACAAAGGATGAAATAAGCAAACAAGACAGGTATGCAGGGGCAAGATTAGAAAGGCAAAGGCACAAAATGAGCTAAATCTAGCTAGAGACGTAACGGGTAACAAGAAGGCATTCTACAAATATATTAGAAGCAAGAGGAAGACCAGGTTAGGCCCATTACTCACTGAAGCAGGAGAAACAATCACAGGAAACTTGGAAATGGCAGAGGTACTTAATGACTTGTTTCATTTTTCACCAAGAAGTTTGATGGTGACAGGATACCTAACATAGTGAATGCTAGTGGAAATGGGGTAGGTTTAGAAGTTAAAATAAAAAAAGAGTTAAAATTACTTAGATAAGTTAGATGTCTTCAAGTCGCCAGGGTCCAATGAAATGCATCCTAGAAAACTTGAGGAGCTGATAGAGGCCTTTAGCTATCATCTTAGAAAAATCATGGAAGTTGGGAGAGACACCAGAACACTGGAAAAGGGAAAATCTAGTGCCCATCTATAAAAAGGGAAATAAGAACAATCCAGGAAACTACAGACCAATCAGTTTGAATTCTTTGCCAGGGAAGATAATGGAGCAAGTAATTAAGGAATCTATCTGCAAACATCTGGAAGATAATAAGGTAACAGGCGGTATGGATTTGTAAAGAACAAATCATGTAAAAACCAATCTGATATCTTCCTTTGATAGGATAACAAGTCTTATCCTAGAGAGAAGTGGTGGACGTGGTATACCTAGACTTTAGTAAGGCATTTGATATGGTCTTGCATGACTTTCTTACCAATAAACTACGGAATTTACATACAATCTAGATGGGGCTTCTATAAGGTGGGTGCATAACCGTCTGGATAAACTGTTCTCAGAGAGTAGTTATTAACGGTTCACAATCCTGCTGGAAAGGCATAACAAGTGGGGCTCCACAGGGGTCTGTTTTGGCACTGGTTTTGTTCAATATCTTCATCAACAATTTAGATGATGGCATAGAGAGTACATTTATTAAGTTTGCAGATGATACCAAGCTGGGAGGGGTTGCGACTGCTTTGGAGGACAAGTTCAAAATTCAAAATGATCTGGACAAACTAGAGAAATTGTCTGAGGTAAATAGGATGAAGTTTAATAAGCATAAATGCAAAGTGCTCCACTTAGGAAGGAACAATCCATTTCACACATACAGAGTAGGAATTGACTGTCTAGGAAGAAGTCCTGCAGAAAGGGATCTAGGGGTCAAGTGGACCACAAGCTAAATATGAGTCAACAGTGTAACACTGTTGCAAAAAAAGCAAACATGATTCTGGGCTGCATTAACAGGAGTATTATGAGCAAGACACGAGAATTCATTCTTCCGCTCTGTTCTGCGCTGATTAGGACTCAGTTGGAGTATTGTGTCCAGTTTTGAGTACCACATTTCAAGAAAGAGGTGGAGAAATTGGAGAAAGTCCAGAGAAGAGCAACAAAAATGATTAAAGGTCTAAAAACCATGAGCTATGAGGGAAGACTGAAAGAACTGGGTTTGTTTAGTTTAGAAAAGAGATGACTGAGGCTATGTCTAGACTGCCCCTCTCTTGCGCAAAACATATGCAAATGAGGCAAAGCGTGAAATATCACCATGCCTCATCTGCATAATTAATGAGGCTCCATTTTTACGCAAGAGGCTTTTGTGCAAAAAGGAGAAGTCTACACAGATCCTTTTTGTGCAAAAACCCTCTGTTGCACAAGAGCCGTTTTTCCAGAAAAAAAAAGCGGAAGAATGGCTCATGCTCAAGAGGGGGTTTTTGTGCAAAAAGGAGCCGTGTATACAGCTCATTTGTGCACAAAAGCCTCTTGCGCCGAAATGGAGCCTCATTAAGATGCAAATGAGGCACGGCGATATTCCACGCTTCGCTTCATTTGCATATGTTTTTGCAGAAAAGGCTATAGTGTGTAGACATAACCTGAGAGGGGACATGATAGTAGTTTTCAAGTATCTAAAAGGATATTACGAGGAGGAGGGAGAAAAATTGTTCTCCTGGCTGAGGATAGAAGAAGCAATGGGCTTAAACTGCAGCAAGGGAGTTTTAGGTTGGACATTAGGAAAAACTTCCTAGCTGTCTTGGTGGTTAAACACTGGAATAAATTGCCGAGGGAGGGTGTGGCTATCTTCATCACTGGAGATATTTAAGAGCAGGTTAAATAGACATCTATCAGGGATGATCCTGATGGTTCGTGGTCCTGCTGTGAGGGCAGGGGACTGGACTTGATGCTCTCTCGAGGTCCCTTCCAGTTTTAGTGTTCTACAGTTCTGTGATTCTAATGGTGCATCTACTCAGCAGGGCCTAACTCGAAATAAGCTAAGCAAATTGAGCTACATCAATTGTGTAGCTTATTTTGAAATAGCTTATTTTAAGTTTTGGTGCTGTCTACTCGGCACTTATTTGGAAATAGAGCACTCTTCCTCCTAAAATGAGAGTTACAAGAGTCAGAGTAAGCAGTCCTCCAGCTTGACAGTATTTCAACATTATGTCAAAGTAACTGCTGGCTGTATAGACACAGACCTATGTTATCACAGAATAACGCCCCAATTTCTGCCGACGTCCGTGCAGTGCCTGATTGAATGGAATCAGTCTATTGCCTTGCACAACCTGCACTGATTTATCCCACTGGTGGGTCTGCCCTTATGGGCACTAGCGCTAAATAGCAGCAACTGGCAGCATGGCTTACTGGAAAAGAGGAATAGCTGGGGAGGTGGCTGCAAAAATTAGCAGCAGCAAGATGCTGTCCTCTGCTTTAATGGAAGCCAAGCATAGCCATGCATGGCTGCTCTGACCGGTTTAAGGCAGTTTCTGAAACATGGTGAGTGCTACTGGAGAGCTGAGAAAGGTTTAAAGGTATCATACCTGCCTCCTATACACTGCAAGAGGGGACATAGGTTTTGCCTAAGAGCAAATAAAAGGCAGGTGTTGATTAGAACAACCGTTGAAACAATGATACGGCTGATGTGTGGAGGTCTCCGATTAAACACAGAATGGGGGCACAGCATGCCAACAGGTTTCTTAATTGGACGGGGAAGGATGACATTTAACCTTTGAATTTCTGGATTAATCCCTAAGGGTACGTCTACACTCACTTGTTAGTTCGAGCTAGGTAGGGTAATTAGGGCAAGCGGAGTTGCAAATGAAGCCCAGGATTTAAATATCCTGGGCTTCATTTGCATGTTCCCGGGCGCCGCCATTTTTAAATCCCTGTTAGTCTGAACTCCGTGCCCGTGGCTACACGCGGCACGGAGTAGATAGTTTGAATTAAAGGTCCTAATTCGAACTACCGTTACTCCTCATTCCTCATTGGCAACTCTGCTTGCCCTAATTACCCTACCTAGCTCGAACTAACAAGCTAGTGTAGATGTACCCTAAGCTGTAACCTCACGCTGTGGTTTCCCGCCTGTCCAATCCCCACCCACCCCGGTCACGGCAGGTGGAAGAGTTCAAGCTGAAAAGCCGGCGCTGGCTGGGGGACATCGTCCTGGTTCGGCTGCACAAGGAGCCCTATGCCTTCTACCCTACTGACAACTGGTACTGCAGCTACGTGGAGGTGGTCTCCCCCCACGGACAGAGCTACCGCTTCCCCTGCTACCAGTGGATCGAGGGCTACCGCACACTGGAGCTGCGGGAGGGCAAAGGTAGGAGCCTGAGGGCAGGAACAGGGGGGCTGGCTGGAGCTGTTTTGGATCACAGCTAGGTAACTAGCCTGTATACCTCCTGTACCTATCTATCTATACCCTTACATGCCCTGTACTTCTCTGTCTACCCCTGTACACCCCCTGTACCTCTCTGTCTATATCTGTACACCCCAGTCCCTACCTACCTACCTTTCCCACCTCTCTCTCCTCACAGTCCCCCTTTATCAGTCCCACACCCCCATCTATCTATTTATCCACACACACACATCTATCTGTCTGTCTGTCTGTCTATCCACACCCACACACCCATCCCATTCTCGCCTCACCCACAGGCCAGATGGTTTTCGACGACGCTGATCAGCCAATGCTGCTGCAGCAGCGAGAGGAGGAGCTGAAGCAGCGACGCAAGTGCTATGAGTGAGCTAGACCCTGTGGGCATGTGGGGAGCTCTCTGGGGTCTGGCCTGTGTGGGGACCCAGGGATGGAGGGTGCGGAGGGAGCTGCAGGCCCAGGACTACAAGGGAGGGTGGCTGGTTTAGGCAGGGCAGCGGCAGGCTGGCGCTCACGACCCCCACACTCTCTCCCACCCCAGGTGGAAGGAGTACAGCCCCGGGTTGCCCCACTGCCTGGCCGTGGATAACATCATCGAGCTGGACGGCAACAGCATGTACTCCGTCACCAAGAACACCAACTTGCTGCTGCGCTCGACGAACACGTGAGTGCGCGCCCCCACTGCCCAGCGAGCTACCCTGCCCAAGCACTGGCCCCAGCTGTAGCCCTTTACCGTCCTCCCGAATCCTGTATCCTTCCCCTAGCCCTGAACTCTAACCTTAACCCTAATCACTAACCCTAACCTCAATCCTTTACCCTACGCCTGTCTACCCTACTCTACCCCAGTCACTAACCCTTTACACTCCATCCCTAACCCTGTATCCCAACCCTACCGTTAACCCTAATCCTCTACCCTAAACCTGTACGCTATCCCTACTTCTACCCTAAACCTGTACCCTACCCCTACCTCTACCCCAGCCTTAACCTTATACCCTGCCCCATCCCTAACACTAACCCTGTACCCTAATCCTAACCCTGTATCTGAACCCTGTACTCTAACCCCAACCGTAACCCTGTACCTAACTCTAGTCCTACTCCTAACCATAACTCTAACCCTAACCCTAACCCTGTGCTCTAACCTTGTATCTGAACCTTAACCCTGAATGATAACCCCTGTGTCCTAAGCCAACCCCTGTACTCTAACCCAGTGGTTCTCAACCTTTTTTTTTATAAGTACCCCTTTAAAAAATTATAAGTACCCCCAGTATCTCTAGTTTTCAGACACACAATTTTTTTCTACCATTGCAACACATTTATTTAAACAACTTAATCGTAGCTGGGTGGGCAATGAAATTTTTGGGTGTAAAAAGTACAAAAATAATAAAACGCAGTAAAACTTAAAACAAAAATTCAGTTTTCCCCAAATTTCAGCTGTGTTGACATACCCCCCAGACTTCTCTCGAGTCCCCTGAGGGTTCTCGTACCACTGGCTGAGGAACACTGTGCTGACCTGCTTGCTGTGAACACATGAGTACAGTCCCTCCCCCTTCCCCGCTCAGGCCCATCCCCAGGGACTAACCTAATTCTGATCCTAACAGCCACCAACACTCTACTCCCCTTGCCCATGCCCCCCCATGCAGCCTGACTCTGGACATTAAACCCTAACCCTTCGCCCAGGCCCCCACTCTCCTGCTGCAGGCAAGGGACCAATGTGCCCCCCCCCCAGCCCTGTCCATCTCCAGGGTCTGGCCCTCGCCCGGGCTGCTCCCACATGTCGCACTGTCCCTCCAGGCAGGTGCGGATGCGGCTGAAGGGTTTCCTGAGCTGCACCAACTCCTGGGCAAAGCTGGAAGACATCAGCAAGGTTTTCTGCTTCAGCAAGAGCCCGATCACAGGTGGGAGACCCCCCCCCAACCTCCACGAGCCCAGAGGGTTGGGACGCAGCGAGGCAGGGCCGTTCTTTGGAGCCCTACGCAGGATGGTTAACCCGGGGCCCCTCTGCCTGATGGCAGTCTGGGGGGGGGGATGATTTTTTTAGAGATGTGATTTTATGATCTTCAGCAACAACCTAGTGAAACATTTTTAAAACAAACTTTAAACTCGGGTCCCGTCGGCTAACGCTGTAAATTCAGAGTCAGACTGGATCTACCTGGGCTTGGCAAATGCCTGAGAAAGGGCGTCACTCCCTCTGGAATGGGGGTTCTGCTCAGAGCCCTGGCAGACTTGGTTGGTGACTTTCACATTAGCCAGACCCTCTCCGGAGGAAGCGGAGCCATGGGACAGGGGTTGGAGGCAGATGGATGGACATTAAGACCAAGGGGTGCTCCCAATTTTTGGGCGCCCTACGCAGCCGCGTATTCTGCCTATCGGCGAGGAGGGCTCTGCAGCTAGAAAATGCACCAGCCTCCCCGTGTGCCATGTGCTGCCCAGACCCCTCAACTGAGCTTGGGGCCCCAATGTGCTGCGCGCTGCCAGGACCACACTGAGTTCAGACCCCTGCCCACTAGTCCCTTAGGGTATGTCTACACTACCCCGCTAGTTCGAACTAGGAGGGTAATGTAGGCATACCGCACTTGCAAATGAAGCCCGGGAAATTCAAATCCCGGGCTTCATTTGCAAGTGCGGTATGCCTACATTACCCTCCTAGTTCGAACTTGCGGGGTAGTGTAGACATACCCTTAGCCCTTTCTCCAGCGGTGGAGGCCGTGGCCCCAACATACCACGGCCCCAAGACCCTGCCATGGTGCCCGGGACAGGACTCAGTCCCAACCCCCCTGAGCCCCAGCCCAGCACATTCACCCTGCCCATGTCCCCGCAGAGTACGTGCAGGAGCACTGGCGAGAGGACACGTTTTTTGGGTACCAGTTTCTGAACGGGGTCCACCCAGTGACGATCCGGAAATGCACCAAGCTCCCGGAGAACTTCCCCGTCACGTCAGCCATGGTGGCCCCCTTCCTAGGGGAGGGCACCACCCTGACGGATGAGCTGGAGGTAAGTGGGGCTCCAGGGTACCCCCCACATGGAACTCGCAGTGGTCAGAGTTCTCGTGCCAGCTCCTCCCCCAGCATTGCTCTGGGCACCAGCAGTCATGGGCCAGAGGTGCCCAGCTGGTCCAGCTCCAGAGCCACACGACCCGCTAGTCCTGACCACTTGGCTCCAAGGGCTAGTCCTGGGGCACTGCCGTGGGGAAGCTCACAGCACAGAGTGTAGGCACTACTGCAGGGAAGCTCACAGCGCTGGGAGAGGGTACGGCTGTGAGGAAGCTCATGGTGTTGGCATCACAGCTTTCTCCTGCTGCCCATGGGCCCTGGCAGCCCCTACGCTCCACTCAGCTCTCCCTGTGCCTTGCAGAAGGGGAACATCTTCATCGCTGACTATAAAATTCTGGAGGACATCACAGCCAATACGATCAATAACTACCAGCAGTACATCGCTGCGCCCATCTGCCTGCTGTACGTACAGCCCTCTGGAGAGCTCGTCCCAGTCGCCATCCAGGTACCAGCCCCCGACGCCCCCCACGCTGCCCGGCGGGACTCCCACTCAGCCCCTTAGCTCTGCACCCTCCCAGGGCTGGGCATTGCAGTCGTACCATTACGTCCCATCTATAGAGCTCTGTGCATATGAGGGGGTACGCATTTTTGTACCTAGGGACAGTAAAAGAATTGTGCCTTCACAATAAATGCAGCATGTTACCTTATTATCCCCAAATAAGATTCTGTTAGTTCTATTCTACAAGTGCAACACCAGCCTCTACCCCTCTTCTCCCCCGCCAGCCCCCACTTCCCTCCCAGAGTCAGGGGAAGAACTCAGGAGTCCTGGCTCCCTGCTTCCTCCTCCCTCACCTGTGTCTACATCTCCTCCTTCTCATACTGGATTTGCTGCATCCTCACATCCCGGCAGCCAGATCCCTATTCCTGCACTCCCCCCAGGCGCAGGAAGATTCAGGCCCTTGGCCTGTGCCAACTCACCCTAGCCTTGCTGTGTCTCTCTCTCCCGCAGCTCAGCCAGCACCCGGGTCCCGACTGCCCCATCTTCCTGCCCAGTGACTCTGAGTGGGACTGGCTCCTGGCCAAGACCTGGGTGCGCAACGCCGAGCTGCTGGTACATGAGGCCGTCAGCCACCTGCTGCTCACTCACTTAATCAACGAGGCCTTCACCCTGGCCACCCTGCGCCACCTGCCCACATGCCACCCGATCTTCAAGGTGAGGGACGGGTAGGCCAACAGGCGGACACGGGGCCAGCTGTGGCCAGCTTCGCCCATGCTCCTGCATCCTGAATGGACCGCGCATGCGTCTGGGAACTGGGGCCAGCTGTGCCCAGCTGTGCTGGAGAGAAGAGCCCAGCTGGGGAATGGTGCCAGACAGGCCCCGCTGCCAGCATCCAGCTGTGCCCGGCAGCCCCTGCATGTTCTACCCATCACAGCCCAGCCCCTATCTGCCTGGGGTGGCCGGGGCGGGGGGAGGAGGTAGAAGGAACCATGGTTGTGTTCTCAGAGGGGCCAGGTCCCTGCCCCTGGATCTGTGCAGAGGTGGGAGGCATGGCTGTTTGCTTGCCCTCACTCTCCTCTCCCCCACCTTCGTCTCTCTTTTCCTGCCCAGTTGCTGCTGCCCCACACACGCTATGTACTGCACGTCAACGTCCTGGCCAGGTCCTTGCTACTGAGACGTGGAGGGATCATCGATAAGGTGAGAGGATGCCAGGGTGCAGGGCATAAGACCCCGCTGTCTTCCCAGAGCCAGGGAGAGAACCCAGGAGTCCTGACACACAGCCCACCCTTTCTGCCCCAAACTGGAGAGAGAACCCAGGAGTCTTGGCTCCCAGCCCTCCTGCTTTAAAGACTAACCCCCACTCCCCTCCCAGAGCCACATATCTGAGAGTAAAACACTCCTGGCACCCAAGGTGCCAGCTCACCTGGAACCCCCGCCGCTCTTTTCTTGTGTGGCCTTGCTGTGAAAACCGCTGGGAGGCAGATCCTTTGGGGTGTTGGCTATCTCATTTGATCCCGGAATTTGCACCGTATGGCCCTGTGGATACAGCCCCCACTTTCAGCATATGGCTACTATTAGCCATTAACTGTGAGAATTCCTGGAGGACAGATGAGGTCCCAGCAGGCAGGGGAGGGGCAAACACAGCCTCTGCCTTGACACAGAAGAACAAAGAGGACCCAGATAATTATAAAACCAGTCAATCTAACTGGAAGATACTGGAACAAGGTATTAAGTAGCCAATATGTAGCTAAAGGATCATAGGGTGAAAAAGAAGAGCCGGCATGGATTTGTGAAGAACAAACTATGCAGAACCAACCTAATTTCCCTTTTGGACAGAGCTACTGGTCCCATGGCTGGGGAGAAGCAGTGGATGTGATATATCAGCCTTGCAACATGTTCCCACATGATGGTCTCAAAAGCACATGCAGGAAATGTGGACTAGATGGACTTACGATGGGCAGTTGAAAGTAGTTGTCAATGGTTCCCTGTCACACCGGGAGGGTGAATATAGTGGAGTCCCATAAAGATCAGTCTTGCTTTGGCATCGACCAATATTATCAAAATACAGGACTATGTAGCACTTTAAAGACTAACAAGATGGTTTATTAGATGATGAGCTTTCGTGGGCCAGACCCACTTCCTCAGATCAAATAGTGGAAGAAAATAGTCACAACCATATATACCAAAGGATACAATTAAAAACAATGAACACATATGAAAAGGACAAATCACATTTCAGAACAGAAGGGGGATGCAAGGGGGGGGGAAGGAAGGTGAATATCTGTGAGTTAATGATATTAGAGGTAGGGAAGGGTAGATGTCTGTGAGTTAATGGTATTAGAGGTGATAATTGGAGAAGCTATCTTTGTAATGGGTAAGGTAGTTGGGGTCTTTGTTCAGCCCTCCGCGGGGGTGGAGGTGGGGGGTTAACAAAGACCCCAACTACCTTACCCATTACAAAGATAGCTTCTCCAATTATCACCTCTAATACCATTAACTCACAGACATCTACCCTTCCCTACCTCTAATATCATTAACTCACAGGTATTCACCTTCCTTCCCCCCCCCTTGCATCCCCCTTCTGTTCTGAAATGTGATTTGTCCTTTTCATATGTGTTCATTGTTTTTAATTGTATCCTTTGGTATATATGGTTGTGACTATTTTCTTCCACTATTTGATCTGAGGAAGTGGGTCTGGCCCACGAAAGCTCATCATCTAATAAACCGTCTTGTTAGTCTTTAAAGTGCTACATAGTCCTGTATTTTGTTTCAGCTACACCAGACTAACACGGCTACATTTCTATCAATATTATCAAGAATGACTTGGATCATGGAGTGGAGAGTTTGTTGGTAAAATTTGCAGCCAAAACCAAGCTAAGAGGGGTCGCAAGCACTTTGACAGGCAGGATTAGAACTCAGAACAAACCATGACAACTCGGAGAACTGGACTGAAATTGACAAGCTGAAATTTAGTGAAGACAAAGGTAACACGAGGAAGGAAAATTCCAGTGCCCAACTACACAAAGGAACATAACTGGTCAGAGGTGAGTTGTTCTTCTCCAGAGGATCTGGGAGATATGCTGGGGCATAAACTGAATATAAGCCAACAATGCGGTGCAGCTGGAAAATAGACTATCATCATCCTAGGCTGTTTTAGCAGGAGTGGTATGTGTAACACCCAGGAGGTCATTGTCCAACACCAGTGAGACCTCAGCTGGAGAAATGGGGCCAATTTTGGGTATTACACTTTTGGAAAGATGGGGCCAGATTGGAGAGAGTCCAGAAAAAAGCAACAAACACGATAAAAGGCTGAGAAACCCTAATAAAAGGTCAAATAAAAGTGGATGTGTTTAGCCCTGGGAGAAGTCCTGACTCAGGGGAGACCTGATAGTCTTCAAATATGTTGAGGACCATTAGAAAGAGGATGATGATCCATTGCTCTCCAGGCCTGCTGAAGGCAGGACAAGAAATAATGGGCTTATTCTGAAGCAAGGCAGGTGTAGGTGAGATATTAGAAAAACTTTCTTTCTCTGAAGATTGCTAACTCTGGACTAGACATCCAAAGGAGGCAGTGGAATCTTCATCATGGGAGGCTTGTACTAACAGGTTGGACAAACACCAGGCAAGGATAATGTAGGTTGACTTGATCCTGCATCAACAAAGGGAGCTGGACTAGATGATTTCTCCAGGTCCCTTCCAGCCTCATGTTTCTAGGATTCTGTGAAAACATGGGTGTTGCGAGAGATTGGTCATTTTTGGGTACAACACAAAGCAGAACAGAAGGATGCCCCCTTCATCATGGGGCCTATTGTGCTGAAATAGATCACAGTAGTATATCGTTCTAACCCACCCACCACCTGGAGGCACAGAGATTGACGGCTCTGTCTCTGGTCCCTTCTCAGGCCATGGGTTCGGGACTTGTGGGGATCACCGAGCTGATGGCCAAGGGCATGTCTGGCATGACCTACACCTCCTTATGCTTCCCTGATGACATCCAAGAGCGTGGGGTTGATGACATCCCTAATTACTACTACAGAGATGATGGGCTGAAAATTTGGTCGGCCATTGAGAGGTAAGGGGGTGGCAAAGGAGAAGACACAATGTGGAAAATTCCTACTGGACCAGAGAGGCTTGAAAACATGACTTCCCTGTCGTGCAAACAATTTTGAGTTAAAAAATGGAATTCCCCAAAAAGCTCTTTTCTGAAGTCATCAGCCCCCCTGTCAGCCCCATAAATACTGGCCCGCCTTCAGAAATGAAGCTCCCTTGGCCATCTGCCAGCTCCTCAGTTTTGGGAATGTCTCATGTCAAGACATGGAGGCAGATCAAAAGGCCAATTTGACATTGGATGCCTAGTTGGAGTCCTCCTCCGTAAGTTTCATTCTTGGATATCAGGACAGGATCCCGGGGTGCAGCCTGGGGCTGTAGGAGCATTATGCCCCCTTAACCTACCAGCCTCGGCTATTTCTCACAGTGCTTTGCTAGTGACAAGCAGCAAACCCCTCCAGGTGCTGCGATCACTTAGCACAACCTCATGTGGCACCCACATCCCCAACCAGAGCTCACAAATGCTCCCAGAGCCACTCACCAATCACACAGAGAAAAGCATCAGTCAGTATCCCCCGTCTCCCCAGCTTTGTAGCCTAGAAACTAAATTCCCTGTAAGCAGGGTGGCTGTTCAGAAAACCTCCTGACCCAGACCTCCCCTCCCCTGGACCCAACCCATCCCCAGACCTGCCATGGCCAGGGGAAAGGTGCCCTTCCCCTGGCCCGGACCTGCCACAGCTGGGAGGAGGGTTATCTATCCCATGGCCCTAGCCCTAGAGCCGCTGCAGTGGGAGACAGTGAGCTGAGGGGGGTCCTCTCTCCCCACCGTATCCCCAAGGGAACCTATAACCCAAACCGCTCATCACTGGCCTCACCCCAAAGCCCACACCCCCAACCAGAGCTCTCATCCCCTGCCCCAGCCCTCTGCCCCAGCCCTGAGCTCCCTCCCACACTCCAAACCACTCAGCCTCACGCCCACCACATGAATTTTGTTATGTGCACCAACATGGACATCATGTGTCACACCTCACCACGATATTGGTGCATGTAACAAAATTCATTGCGCACATGGATGGGAAAAATTAGAGGGAACTCTGCCCAGAGCTGTACCATCTTGCCCTGCTCAGAAGCCTGACTAGTGTTGGTTTATTACCCAATCTGCCCCTTCCTCAATGTGGCGAGGGTGTGCACAAACTTTTGTAATTTGAGCTGGAATTTATTAACTACAGGCAGATTTTACATGGAGACTGGCATTCCACAAAGGGAGCACCTGAAACTTTCAAAGCAACTTGGGCTGACTTTTGAGAGTTCTGTGATAAATGTAGACCTTGAAACTAGGCCTGTCACAGCCCTCTCCTGCCTTTATCCTAGCCCTCTTTATTCACTTTGTGCAGTCTGATGGATGGATTGGACTTGGACAAAAACTTCCCATGGCTCAAAAATGGAGAGGAAAAGCCAATTTTTTAGGAATTCTGCCCAAAACCAAATTCAGGAGAAAGGTCTTGCTGGGGGTGAATGGAAGCTCTTGGTTTCAGCCAAGCCAAGGCATTTCATCCTGACAGCCACTCTTATGCAGCGTGTTCCCACCTAGAAGAGTAAGTTCAGTCTGAAAGGAAAAATTCATCTCAGTGGTCGACAGTCCGTGAGAGCTGAGATTATCTGGAGGTCAGGCCAGAGTCTTAGCCACTCAGCCATGCTACTGCCAGTAGCAGAGGGTGAGCTTACAGATGCTGGTTGAGTGACAGGTGCATTGGGGAGCAACAATGCCTGCTTTGACCCTCCAGGTTGACACATCTCTGTTATTCCCAGCTTTGTCTCCGGCATCGTCCAACACTATTATCACAGCGACGCCCATGTCCTGGCAGACAGCGAGTTACAAGCCTGGGTTGACGAGATCTTCAGAAAAGGCTTCCTGGGGAATAAGGCATCCGGTAGGGGACACGTGAGCCTAGAATCCTGCAGCAGCTTCTCAGGGGCTCTATCCAGGAGTCGCTAGAGGAGATCTCTGGAGTGTGTGATTCACAAGTCCAAATGACGGCCAGCCAGACCCCACATGGTGTCAATGGGTGTCTCTCCACTCGAGTCAATGGGGCAAGGTCCCCAGCTGATGTGAAGTGGCCCCAAAGGCAGGGGTCATGACCTACTATAGGGAGCAAGGGCCCTGATCCTGCAGGGCCACCGTGATCTATTCGTCATGACAGAGGGAAGGGGATATGGAGTGACCAGGAATGGTCCCCCCATTGGAATGGGCTGGACAGGGAGCGAGGGAACAACTTTCCAGGGCAAACTCTGGCAGGGGGCGGTATTGAACATAGCTCTGTGAGGTCCCTGGGGCTGCAGAGTGGGGCAGGGCCAGGCCAGTGACACCCTTTCTCCATCCCACAGGTATCCCTGCCTCCCTGCAGAGTGTCTCTGAACTCATCAAATATGTGACCATGTGGATTTACTGCTGTTCGGCCCGACATGCCTTCCTGAACAATGGGCAGGTAGGGAGAGGCCAGCGTGGGAACATGGGGCCCCCATTTCCTGCTCCATACGCAGGCCTGGTGCCCAGCCATTAACACTCCCAGCTGCACCACACATGGGGCCCTGGGTTCCAGACACTAATACCCCCACCCTGAACCCCACTGACACCCTGATTCCCAGGAGGACCCTGCTCTAACAACCACCCCCCTCACCACCCAGCCCCATTGAGAGCCCCAAACACCTCAGGACTCTGCTTCCTTCCCCCACAAAGCTCAGGACCACTCCTCACCCTTCTTGATTCTCTCACCCACTGCCTGTGGGTCAGGATCTGACCAAGCCCTGGGTGCCTTGGCTGAGCCAGCCCTCCCTGTGCTGGTACCCCAAAGCAGAGATGGGGAGTGAAAAGGGTCCCAAATGTGCTGGGGGAGCCCAGGGTGTGCTGGGGGGTCCCAGGCTGGACTGGGGGGACCCAAGCTGGGTTTGGGAGCCCTGGGTGGAGACCTGGGGGAAGGCTGAGGGGGGCCCAACCTAGTCTGGGCAGGTCAGGCTGAGCTGGGGGACTCTGGAGTCCCAGGCTGGGGGGGGCACTAGCTGGCTGGGGAGCAGGGTTGCCAACCATCAGTAAATTTACAGACAGTCCATAAAAATTAGCTGAAAATGGACATGTCTGTAAAGTCCATAAAAAAGTAGGTGTCCATAAATTTCGTAAAAGTGCAATACAATTTCAAAAAACAGCAATTATTCTATAGCAATTACATTTCTTCTGTGCATTATCAGCCATTTTACTGTGGAGCGGTGGATATTGGACATTTTAGTTGTTTATTTAGGTCAAAGGTTGAGGTGACGTAACATGAATCACATGAGCCACATGATGTTATCATCTACATTATGCTGCCGAGTTAGCGTCAGCACATTGGCAATTTATGTAATTTAATATTGTTTACCATTAAAGTTTACAATGTCAAAAATCTATATACATTGTTCTTGTGATGCATGAATGACAATGATTACTTTTCACTTTTGGCCATTTGTGTTGTCTTAATATAGTATAAAAATGTCAGTAAAAAAATTTGTCTGTCTGTACATGTTTCCCATTTTGTCCGTAAATGAAATTTCTGTGGGTTGGCAGCCCTGCTGGGGAGTGCCTAGCTGCTCTGACCCAGGAATCTCTTTGAACACAGTTCGACTTTGGGGCCTGGATGCCTAATTTCCCATCCTCCATGAGAAACCCCCCACCCCAGGCCAAGGGTGCCACCTCCCTGGAGAGCTACCTGGATACCATCCCAGACATCAGCACCACTGGCCGCACCATCTACATCTTTTGGGTCATCTGCTGCGAGCCGGGGGACTCGGTAAGAACACGCGCCCTAGGAGGTGCTGTGGGGCAGGGAGCTGGGTAGAGGCTCAGCAGTGGGCACTCCCCTGATAGGCAGGGCTGGCCTCAGGGCAGTGCTCGGGGGCGCTGTGAGGCAGGGGCTCAGTCGGGGTTTCCCCCCAGCCCGTTGTGGGAACAGTAAAGGATGCACTGACATTTCAGGGCATGAGCCCAGGTGTCCTGGCCCTGCTGCACTTTGGAGGATTCCAGTGAGATGCCTTTAAATAGCCACATCCTCTGGAGTTTCAGCCGACTGCGGATTCTCCTTCTCTGCCTGGCCTGAACCCTTTCCCATGCTTATACACAGCTGTTAAACACCTGCCCTGCAATCCAGGATGTGTGTAGGATCCATGTATAACCCAGCTGGCCCACCCCAGAGCTGGCCACAGAGGGGCCCCTGTGTAACTAGCTGCCCTGCCCCAGAGGCATCATGGCACTGGATAGCTGCCCCAGTCCAGAGGTAGTGCCAGGCAAGACAACCCATCCATGCTGTCTCTCACTGCTCTCCCTTTCCCTTGCAGAGAGCCCTGGGCACATACCCTGACGAGCACTTCACGGAGGAGGAGCCAAAGCAGCTGATCACGGCCTTCCAAGAGCACCTGGCCCAGATCTCCCAGGAGATCCAAGAGAGGAACAAATCCCTGCCCATCCCCTACCGCTACCTGGATCCCCAAGAAATTGAGAACAGCACGTCCATCTGAGCCCCATGCCCCCCCCTACCCCCCAAGGCAGCTGGTAGTGCTGTTACCATCGTGCCATACCTGCGATGCTGTCCTGAGAGCAATAAACCACAGACTTGCTCTGCTCTGAATGGATAATTTCATCTAGTAGGGTACAGCCAGGAAAGGGAAGCTGGGCATCAGGACTCCTGGGATCTCTCCCCAACTTTGGGAGGGGAGTGGGGCAGGTGGTTAGAGGAGGGGGCTATGAGCCAGGTCTCCTGGGTTTTATTGTCCTTAAGCAAACCTCCTGTGCTCATCATGCCTCAGTTTCACAAGCTGTACCCCAGGGGAGCTAAGGGCCAGATTCTGATATGGATAAGACTTAGGGTTGCCAGAGGGTTTCACAAAGAATAACAAACCACCCCCCAAAAAAGCCTGGGGAAATTTTGGTTAAGCAAAAAAAAAAAAAAAAAAGACCAGGGTCGAAATGCAGTTGCGGTCCCTTTAATTCCCAGGCTGCTCCCACCTCCCATCTGCTCCCATCTGCCCCAGGATGTCCCAAGCAGCTTTCCTTCAGGCGCCTGAGCCGGACCTCAGGAAAAACAGAAACTATCAGACATTTTAGATGTCCAGTAGTTTCTGAATTTTTTTTACCAGGCAGAAGGTACAAATACTGGGCTGTCCGGTTCAATACCGGACACTTGGCAACCCTAATGAGACTCAAGATTGGCCCTGAGGGGCCACATGAATTATCACATCATGAATTATCTAGAATTACTCTTTATTTACATGGTCACATACAGTCATCAGCAATCCCAGTCATGAGGTTACTAGGTCCTCTCCAGTAAGTACCTCTCCCCCAAACACAGTATATATATATATATACAGAGAGAGAGAGAGAGAGAGACATTCCCTTCCCCCACCCCCGAACGCTTCTTCCCCAAGATATGTCCAAAAAGTCATTAGCAAAAAAAAGTACAATTTATACACAAGTCTATGAAAAATGATAGACAATCAGATTCCCAGACCAGGCAGCCAGCTCCTCCCTCACAGCTATGAGCCTCCTGGGCCTTTAAGACATGGTCAATTGGAGGTCATCCCCTTAAAAACAGTTTCTGTCTTCAGACAAATATTCATCTGCAGACAAATATTAACCAAGTACATCCAAAAATGCAGGCTAGATAAAGATGTCCGCTCACAGGCCACCCTTTTAAGAGATGGATGCTTACAATACATCCCTTTAAGGAAACTTTTTTTGTCTGACTGCAGACAAATCTCTTCCAAACAATTCAAACCACCATAAAAATGCAGACTAAGCAAATGTGGCTAGTGACAGGCCACCCCTTAAAAAAAAAAGTACGGATTAAAAAATGACCATCCTTTTAAAAAACAGCCCCCTCCCCCCACACACACTTCAGGTACCTTCTGGCCAAGTAAGTGAAGAACCATCAGAAATGAAGTTCTGATAATATGGCTGATCGGAGGCCATCCCTTTAAGATTCTAATTTTGTCTGCAGAAAAATATTCACCAAGTTTATGAAGGACCACCAAATAAACAAGTCAGACAGCTCATTGAAAGGCCAACCCTTTAAGAGTTTTTATTGTCTGCAGCTAAATATTGACCATTCCATGTGGCTGAATAGTGACCACCCCTTTAAGAAATCATTTTCACTTCAAGTAAATATTGTCTGAGTGCAATGGATACTTGGATGCCAGCTCTGCATGGGTTTTATAGGATGGGAGTTTGTTGTTGGGTTTCTTTTTTGCCTACAGATAAACTATGGACTGAGTATGTTCAGCAATGACAAATGCCCATGTGGAAAAACCTGGCCAATCAGCCTTCAGCCTTTGTGACTATATTTTTTGCCTGTAGCCAAATATTAATCAAGCACACTTGGGCTGGCATAATTTTTTTTTAATTTCCTGGCTAGCATCTAGCAAATCTTTATAGATCACTGGATCCTTCACCCTCAAGAGCAGGAAGATCAGGGCTTACACCTTATTTTTTTTTTAAAACAACAAATGGTTTGGTAGCACTTTATAGACTAACAAAACATGTAGAGAATATCATGGGCTTTCGTGGGCACAGCTCACTTCTTCAGATGATCGGAGTTTCATGACTACGAAAGCTCATGATACCATCTATATGTTTTGTTAATCTATAAAGTGCTACCAGATCATTTGTTGTTTTTTTCTGTACAGACTAACTCGGCTACCCCCTGAAGCACCTTATTTTTAGCTCTTTTCTGGTACAAATAGGAGGGGAGAACAAGACAGACCATGTGTTAACATTGCTGCCTAGCTTTCATCACATTGCAGCCCTGGGGTGAGGCCATGTGGCTGCCTAAAGACATGTCAGGTACACGACACCCAGGCCCCACTCAGGGGAAACCTGATGGCATTTCCAGCCCTTTCATGACTGCAGGGGTATTGTTGTGGTGATGTCTATTTCACTCAAGCAACCAACAAACAGCCAAGAGAAAAACAATCCTGGTTAAAAATCAGGCAAGGCCAAGAACACCGAAGACTTGTTACTTCAAGCAGAAAACACCTGAGCTGGAGGGAAGAGAAAGAGGGGAAAGAAGCTGCACAGAGGCATGCAGCCCCTATGGTCAGGAACAAAACCCAGGGCCACAGCACCAAAACATTGCTATGTTAGCAAGGGAGGAGCAGGATATTTTTCCATTGCTGCTCCCAAAGGGAGCTAATCCCCTGGCACCCGAAACCTTAAGTGCCCTCTTTATCCACCCCAAAGAGGAAAATCCCCCGTAAAAATATGTTCTCATAGATTTCAAGGCCAGCCTGGACCATTTTGCTCATCTATTTTGGCCTCCTGGACAACACAGGCTAAAGACCTTCCCCAAAAATAATTCCCTTGGGCGCTAGATAAGCTCTTTAAAAAAACTACACCCAGTCTAGCCTGCAATCATGGGTGAAGCATTCCCCGCATGACTTCCAAGGGTGGGTCCCCTTTAAATTCTCACCGCCCCCGTTAAGAGCAATGGGGATGATGGAGAGTTTTTTTCCAACTGCCATCTAGTGGCCAGTGGTGTGTACTATGGGAGATTTTTTAACCCCTGAAATGCCAGGCAGCTACACAAAAGTGCAGGTGGTGGCAAGACTATTCCCCCAGGAGGGCTGTTCTGCGGTGCTCCCTCACTGTCCTCTAGGAGTGCCATTCACACGTGGCCCAAAAGATGAGCACGTCCAGGAGCAAGGTCTGTGGTTTCAGGGAGCACAGCCCTAGACCTAGGCCGGCGACCGAAACGGAACGGATTTTGGTGTTATCGGGCTGAAGCCAATCCCAGGCCCAGACGGATTTGCTCCTGGCCCACTCAACAATCACCTTCTCCCATGCTGGTGATGTGGGAAAGCCCCATGTCCCATTCCCCACTCTCCCCCCCCCCCCCCCCCCCCCCCCCCCCCCCCCCTTGAGCCAGCCAATCCCTCCTGTGGCTGGAGGGGAGCCCAAATATTACTGTGCTGAGAACGGGTCATAATCACAGATGCAGGGAGTCCCATTCCAGGCAGGGAAAGGAAAGCCACGTGCATATGGCCTCCACTGCCGCAGGCGGGAACTGAACCCCAAACACACCAGCTGTTAGCAAGGAGTGAGCAGAACATTATTCCCACCAATGTCCCTTGAGGGCCCTAGACCCCCAGCACCCAGCCGGTGAATTGCAGTAAGCCCATGGGGGAAGGCTCTCCATTCCCCCCCACTGTGTCTGTCCAGGGTTCTCTGTAGAAAACTACCAGGAGCTGCACAAATTCCCACCCACCTCCATCTCCTTGCAGTGGCAATCTGAATCCCTGGCCCCCATACCCAGAAAGGGGGGAATTGCCGGTCCCAGGGGATGCTGTATGTTAAAATAAAAGAATGTGAACTCCCAGGTTGGCCGAAGTCCCATAATGCACCTGTTAATTTAGTAGGAGTGCACAGAAGTTTCCAAGTTGGTCAAAGTCCCATAATGCATCTGGCTGTATAGTAGGAGATGCACAGAAATTATCAGGTTGGCTCAAGTCCCATAATGCACCTGGTTCTATAATCAGAGGGCAAGGAAGGCCCAAGTCCCATAATGCACATGGCTCTGTAGTAGAAGGTGCATGGAAGTTACCAGGTTAGCCCAAGTTCCATAATGCACCTGGCTCTTTGGCTACAAAGCAATCAGCAATTCCCAGCTCGGGACCAGTATACCAGCAGACATGTGGGAGAGTCCATTTCTGATGACCAGCATAAGGTGCCCACCTGGCACAGTCCATCCTCCTCCCACGGGGTCGGGGGAAGCAATTTAAGTCTGTCCCACAGCAGAATGGCCCACAGGGACTAGCCAGGAAGCATCAGGTGGCATCGGCCGTGGATTGCATTGACTGGATGAAAGGGAAGAAGGAGGCAGAATTAGTCAGAATTAGTTCCAGATGAGCATCAAGCCCCTTGCTTTTATTGGGGAGGCTCTCTAGGCCAAGTCTCTATGGCGAGGGAAAGCTGGAGGAATCTAAATCTTGTAAAGACAGCCCTTAGCTCTCTCATGACCATAAGTAAGGGGAATGTTAGCCCCTTACTAAAACTCTGTGGGAGTTTTTAGGTTTGCTAGCTCGCAGTATCAAAAGGGGAAGGGTCCATGAGACTGACAGACCCCAGAGACAATGGAAAGCAGCCAGCACTCCAGCTCAGCCTGATTGACAGGTTGGACAGGCCAGTGAGGAAAACGAGAGGCCAGGCCCCATCCTCCCTGTGAGCTGGGATTGTTCTGGGTCTTCCTGAGCAAGGAGAGAGCTGAGAGACAGCTAAGAGCAGTGCAAGCTGTGTGCTGAAGAAGTCCTGTAGCCACAGAGCCAGACACAGACAGCCCAAGGAGTTCAAGCTGTGTGGAGAGACAGTTTTGCAGCAATAGAGTCAGGCACACACAGCTCAAGGAGCACAGACCCTGTGTTGAGCAGCAGACTGGCAGTGCTCAGAGAAGCCAAAAGGGACAGAGAAGAAACGCAAGGAACTGGACACTGACAAGGCAGCACAGCCTGCAGCTGGGTGTGGTGAGCAGCTGGGACCAGCAAAGTGTGGGGAGAGGCTCTGGGCAGGGAGATATCACCAGCCAAGAGGCCCAGCAGGCCAGACTGGGAGAGGGGTCTGGCCACTTAGAGCTTGAGGCTGTGTGGTCACTGCCAGAGCAAGTGTGTCCAGCCTGCAGCCCCCTGCAGCACATCCAGGGCCTCTAAGGAAGAGACTGTGAACTGTCCTTACACTCTGCAGGCTGCTGTTTTGATGTCCCTGTGCTACAGAGCAGGGCTGTGTGTTCTCATTTAACCATTCTCATTTTTTTCTTATTCTTTTCTCTTTAATCAGTTGATGTTTAATAAATTGTATTTGCTTTGAACCTGATGAAATGATCACTGGGCCAAGAAAGCCTGCAGTGTAAAGAGAGCACCTCGGAGTGGGGACACCCTAACTCCTGCCCCTAGTGACTACAAGGTCAGGGATTAAGCCCCAGGAAACCTGGGCCCAGCCTTGTTGGGGTTTCGAGGACTCTGCTACTCAGGAGAGTGGAGGGGGAGCCCTCAGGATCAGGGGAGCCGTGGGGTAAAGGAAGTGGGAGCGGGGACTCAGATCCTTTCACTGGTCCATTTCACCGGGGTGGTATAGAAGCCAGGAAAGTTCCCCACAATAGCGGGACCATTCCCCCGCTTACACATAGAGACAAGGCCAAGGCAGTATTATGGGCAGAATGGCTTTATGCCGGCAGCTGTTTTAGGTCACATCTTTTTGGTTCAGGAACGCTGGAGGACTCCAAATGCAATCCAGCCCTAGGGTAACCCTGTGGCACTGGTCTTGCCCACAACCCTTGGTCTTGCCCACAACCATAGAGACAGAGTCAAGGCACTGGGCAGCATGGTGGCTCCATGTCAGTGGCTGCTGTAGGTCACATGTCTATGGTTAAAGAGCACTGGAGGACTCTAAGTGCAAGACATCCTAGGGTAACCCTGGATGGGGACAGCCTATATAGGTTACCCACGACCATAGAGCTGAGCAGTTCTGACGCTAGAGTGGTGCTACAGTCTGACATTCTAGCCCTGTCTTTATGGCTATGGGTCAGGCTGGGGGGAACTGAGCTTCCAGCAAGGATCTCTGATTGGGGAGGGGGGATGATAGGAGGTGGGAGAATTCGGAGGGAAGGCGAAGAGTTGGAGGAACAATATGGGGAAGTTATGCAAATGAGCCAATGCACATTAATCAAATATGTAAATGAGAGCTGTGCTTATTTGCACAGATCCCATGATTTCTAGACCCGGTTGAGGTGAGGGAGGAACTCAGGGATTCGCTCCCAAGGAAAGGGGAGAGCTAAGGTTGCAGGCTGGCTCCAATGGGAGGTGCAAGGGGGAGGAGTCTATGGCAGCCCCGCCTTGAAGAAGGCAGGGGCAGGAGGGGCCTGGCAGCTGCCCACGCTCCCAGCCCCTCTTGGCCTTGCAGTGGTGTCACTGGGGGACTTGTGTATTCAGGGAAGGGGCGGCCTCACCTCCACACAGCCCAGCCTCCCACTCGCAGGCTGCTCCTGCTACTTATTCTGCCCTGACCGCGCTTTCTCCAGCTTCTTCCGCCGCTCCTCTGGGATCTCGTCTAGGCTGATGCCATGGTTACTTGCCCTGTGGGGGAAGGAATGAAGAATGAGTCCTGGCTCACAGCCCCCCCTATTTTAACCATCAGCCCCCACTTACCCCCTAGAGCCAGGGAGAGAGCCCAAGGGTCCTGGCTTCCAGCCTCCCCTTGCCCTGCTTCTGACCAGGGGTCACTGGCTACCCCATTCCTCTCCCCTCTGGGGATGGCATCAGGGCCCAGGCATGGAGAGCAACAGGTCCCCACCCCGCCCCACTTTGCCCCTCCCATCCCCATCCAGAAATCTGTGGGCTCCAGGCCCCTGGGGCTCTTACCCTGGCTGCAGGTCAGGGGGTGTAGGGATGGGTTTGGTGAATCCCTCTCGTCCCACCAGCCAATATGTGTCTTCTACACCTTTGCCCTAGGAAAGAGAGTCTGTGAGCTGTTGGCTGGGAGCAAGAGGCGCTGACAGAACGGGGGGGCCAAGGCTGGGGTAGTGGGGGCTGCAGGTCAGGAGCAAGGGGCACCAGTAGAGCTGGGGGTCAGGGCTGGGCTATCAGGGGCTGCAGGTGGGGAGTGAGTAGCACTGGCAGGGCTTGAGGGGAGGGTCTGCAAGTCTAGGGTTGCCAACTTTCCATTTGCAGAAAACCAAACCCCCTTGCTCCAGCTATTCCCTGAGGCCCTGCGCCTGCCCTGCCCCTTCTTCAAGGCCCCTCCCTTTATCACTCATTTTCCACCACCCTTGCTTACTTGTTCATTTTCACCAGGCTGGGGCAGAGGGCTGGGGTGAGGCTGAAGGGTTTGGGGTGGAGGAGGAAGCTCTGGGCTGGGGGTTAGGGCCAAAGGGTTCAGATTGTGGGAGGAGGGTTGAGGCTGAGGTTGGAGTGTGGGAGGGTTGCAGGCTCTGGAGTGGGACCAGGAATGAGGGATTCAGGGTGCAGGAGGAGGCTCCGGGATGGGGCAGGAAGCTGGGGGGCAGGGGACTCTGGGCAGGCCTGAGAACTAGGGGTCTGAAAGGGTTTGCAGGCTCCATGGGGAGTTTGGAGTGTGGGAGGAAACTCAGGGCTTGGGCAGGAAGTTGGAGTGTGGGAGGGGGTGCAGGCTCCAGGAGGGAGTTTGTGGTACTGGAGGGGTATCCATCTCATGTAGCTCCCAGAAGGAACCAAATCTCCCTCTGGCTCCTACATGGAGGCACAGACAGGAAGCTCCACACTCCACCCCACCTTCAAGTTTTATCCCAACAGCTCCCATTGGCTGTAGTTCCCAGCCAATGGGCACTACAGAGCCCCGTCCTGGCCTTCCCCTCACTTGGGAGCCAGAGGGACATGCCGGTCACTTCCCTGAAGCCGGGCAGGGAGCCTATCCTATGCTGCCGACCAGACTGAATCCCAACAGCGGATTGGGAGCGAGGGGCACCATTACCTTGAGCTCCGTCTTGCCCCGAACATCCAGTTTGTAGCCTTCCTTCAGTGAGTGCAGGATGGTGACTGTGCGGATGTTCACGTGGATCCGGTAAGCTGCGGTGGGGAGACCGGGGGAGACAGAGGTAAGCACCCTGAATCCCCAAACACAACCCCTCTATGATGAAATGGGGAAGTTGTGGGGGAAAGGGTTGCAGGGGCTGCATACAGGGGGGCACTCAGCATCTCTGACTGTTACTGGTTTAACGAGAGGAGCGGAGAGGGAATTTGTTATGACAGAGACCAGCACAGAACTGGAGACCCCAGCGACTGGTGACCAGGTGACTGGGGGACACAGCCAGTTCCACCCAGTGGGAGGAAAATGGGCTGCAGAGATGACCTCAGTGACCTGCCCAGCTGGTTTCAGCCAGGGAGGAACAGAGGTCTGGGGAGAGGTGGAGAAGAGACAGCCCAGGTGACCCTGGCTACCTGGGTAGAAGACAATGGGCAGGGGAGGGGCTGCTGGAGGGGGATATTGGAGGCTCTGCTGGAAGAAGGGGGCTTCAGAACTGGACAGTGAGGGAGCAGGCAGAGCCCTCCTGGCCGCAGGGGAGGCTCAGATGTGCTGGTCTGAGCGGGGCCAGGCCTACAGGCCTGAGTTCCTTTGCTATGTTCAAAGCTCAATAAACCCTCCTGTTTTGTGCTGGCTGAGTCGCTCTGGTCGGGAGAACACAGCGGCACTCGTCCGTCCCGGAGGGGCCCACGGCAGAGGAAGGCGTGCTCGGGGCTCAGAGGGGCAGTTCCAGGAGGCGGCGGGGTGGATGCCCGGGAGGGAGTGGATTCCCCGAGAAGGGGCTGTCGCACTGGAGGGGGTTCCACTCGGGAACTGTACAGGCAAAGTGTGGGCATGACCTGTGAGACCATGACATCCCTATCCCATGCCTCTTGCACAAGAATGGCTCCATGCCATGAGATTCTCTCCTTCCCACCCAGTGCTGCACTGACAGAGGGTGACAATGACACGGGAGACTCACGCAGGCCAGTGGACTCCATGCGGGATGCGGTGTTGACAGTGTCCCCGAAGAGGCAGTACCGGGGCATGGTGAGCCCCACGACACCAGCCACACAGGGCCCTGAGGGGAGAAAGGCCGGGAGAGGGAGATTTACAAGGGGAACAAATGGATGGACAGATGGACAGGGCATGCAGACACAGCAGTGGTGCCTGTGTTTGCCAAAAGCCCCATTGCTCTGATGAGGGGCAGAGTTAACTCCCAACCCCACTGTGCTGGGGGGAACACAGCAAGCCTCATTTGAACAAGAGGGTTTGTGAGGGGACAACACTGCAGCCCTGATTCCCACTCCCCCACGTTCAGGTAAACCATGGGAAAGTACCAGGATCCCACTGCTGACACCAAAACCTCTCCGGGGTGGGTGGGGAGGAGTGAGGGGAGATGAAGGACCTCATGATGCTATCACTCTAGATGGGGACATGGCCTGGGCATGGGATCAAAGGAATAAGGAGCATGACCATCATGAAGGGGCAGACACACACAGCAGGGCTGTGTCTACATTGGCACCCTTTTCCGTAAAAGGGATGCTAATGAGACACTTCGGAATTGCAAATTCTGCAGGGGATTTAAATATCCCCTGCGGCATTTGCATGAACATGGCTGCCGCTTTTTTCCGGCTCGGGGTTTTGCTGGAGAAAAGCACCAGTCTAGATGGGATCTTGCGGAAAATAAGCCCTTTTCCGGAAGATCCCTTATTCCTACTTGAAAGGGAATAAGGGATCTTCCGGAAAAGGGCTTATTTTCCACAAGATCCCATCTAGACTGGTGCTTTTCTCCGGCAAAACCCCGAGCTTGAAAGTAGGAATAAGGGATCTTCCGGAAAAGGGCTTATTTTCCGCAAGATCCCATCTAGACTGGTGCTTTTCTCCAGCAAAACCCCGAGCTGGAAAAAAGCGGCAGCCATGTTCATGCAAATGCCGCTTTTCTCCGGCAAAACCCCGAGCCGGAAAAAAGCGGCAGCCATGTTCATGCAAATGCCGCGGGGGATATTTAAATCCCCCGCGGAATTTGCAATTCCGACTGGTCTCATTAGCATCCCTTTTACGGAAAAGGGTGCCAATGTAGACACAGCCCAGGAGTATGGCCATAAGGCAGGGGCCTGGTCCCAAGGCTGTGAGCAGAGGCTCATGGAGGGGGTGCAGCTACAGTACAGGGGATAAAGGCACACATGGTTATGGAGAAGGGGAGTGGCCATGGCTCAGGGGTGGAGGTACATGGAGGGGGTGTGGCTATCATGCAGGAGCAAAGGACAGAGTGGAGTGGCTATGGAGGAGGGGTGTGTGCAAAATTCCGGGGCAGAGGCGTAGCCATGGCATTGTGGCCCCGCCTCCAGCACCAGGGCTCCCCCGCACCATACCAGAGTGCAGGCCGATGCGGATGCGGACGGGCACGTCGGGCATGTGGCGCATGCGGAAGGAGCCGACAGCGCTCAGGATGTCCAGCGACATGTTGGCAATTTCACCCGCATGCCGGTTCCCGTTGCGCTTCGGTAGCCCCGAGGCCACCATGTAGGCATCCCCGATGGTCTCCACCTGCCAGGAGAGGAGTCAGAATGGGGAGACAGTTCCCACCCTGTGGGGAACTCCACACCTACCCCCAAAAACCCATGGAGCACCTGAACTCCCCAGTCCTGCCCCCAAATCCCTGCTCCCCACCACCCAGTGCTGGGCTCCCCCCAACCCTGCCAGCAATTTTCACTTTCACCTACCTGTACCACCCATGCTGGGGCCTCCAATCCCCCCACCCTGTGCCACCAACCACTGCCCTGATTCTGGGAGTCCCCAATCCCTGTTCCCCCCTTTAATCCCACTTCCATGGCTGGACTCTGGATCCCTGCCCCCAACCTCCACCTCCCTCTGGTAGGGCCACTCCCTGATCCTTCCCTCCCCATGTCAGGGCCCCTGCCCCCCCAGACACTGCCCCCCATCTCAGGGCCCCTCAATCTCCTGTGTCAGGCTCTGCCGCCCAAGCCAGGACCCTTCCCCCCAACATGCTGGGACCGGGGTAGCACCTTGTAGACGTCGTGGGAGCCGATGATGGCATCGAAGAGGGTGTACAGGTCATTGAGCAGGTCAACCACCTCAATGGGCTCGCTCATGGCCGAGATGGTTGTGAAGCCCACGATGTCACTGAAGTAGAGCGTCACCTCTTCAAAGTACTCGGGCTCCACCGGCGTCCCCATCTTCAGTGCCTCCGCCACTGACCTGGGCCACAGGGGGCATCAGTGGGGCTGGGACCAACCTGCTAGCCCCCTGCCCCAACCAGCAGCCGTGCCACGTGGTTTCTCTGGGGCCTGCCCCAAGTCTGTCCTTTATGGCGCCCAAGACACCTCCCACCTGGATGGACGGCTCCAGGCTCCCGAACTGCCCCACTGTCCAACTCCCCTCCCTTCCCCAGCTGGGACTCACGGAGGCAACATCTGGGTGAGCAATTTGTCCGTCTTTTGCTTCTCGATTTCCAGCTCCTCCGTCCGCTCCCGGATCAGGTCCTCCAGGTTGCTGGAGTATTGCTCCAGCATGCGCAGCATGGAGTCGATGATGTTGGTTTTCCGGCCCTTGTTGATGTTCTTGAACTGCCAGGTGGTGAAGGGAGGGGGTATGAGAGGTGACTCTGCCTGGCTCCGGCACGCCATCACTGCTGGCCCCAGCATCCCCATTGTCCATTGGCTCTAGCATCTCTGCTCTCCATTGGAAGTGGCTCTAGTAATCCGGCTCCCTATCGCCACCAGCTCCAGCATCCCTGTGCCCCATTGGCACTGACTCTGGCATACCCACTCCTTATCAGCTCTCACTCAGACACCTCTGCACCTTATGGGCACTGGCTCCAGCATCCCTGCTCCCCCCCCCCCAAAAAAAATACCTGCTTTGACTCCTTCACTCTGTATTGCAACCAGCTCCAGTGCTCCACTGCCCAATATCTCTGCTCCCCATTGCCGCTGGCTCCAGCATACCCACTCCCTATCAACTGCCTCCAACATCTCTGCCCCATTGCCCATAGGCTTCATCATCCCTGCCACCCACCAGCCCTAACATCCCTGCTCCTCATGCGCACTGGCTGCAACATCCCCACTTCCTACCAGCTCTGGCACCCCGTGGCCAATTGTAACCCGTTCTAGCACCCTAACTCCTTATTGGCTCAAGTGTCTAGGTTCTTCCCCCCAGCTCTGCTCCTGGTCAGCAGGGCCAGGGCCAGCACCCTCCTGTCTGCCCTCAACCTACTGGGTTGACTCCAGCACCCCTTGTCGCCCAACCCTATGGCACCATGCTGACTCCGGCACCCCTGGCTACCTGGTCAAAGATCTGGTCGATGGGCGGCCGCCGCTCTGGATGCTCGTCCATCGGGGCCTGGTCCACCGAGACCGACGGCCGGCACAGCGGGGGCGGCTTCTCCACCTTCCGGATGATCTCTGCCCACAAGAGGAGACCCACAGTCACCCCAGGCACCTACTCACCCTGTCCCACCCCCAAGTACTTCTCCACTGGAACTCGGGGAGAGCCCAAGACTGGGCTGGCAGGGGCTACAGGTCAGGAGTAAGGTGCACCAGCAGGGTTGGAGGGAGCCCAGGGCTGGGCTGGCAGGGGCTGTGGGTTGGGAGTGTGTGGCACTGGCAGGACTGATGGGTTGGGAGGGGGGAGCAGAAGGAGATGGGGGCGTAGTCCCTCCCTGCCACGTACCATTGGCCGGCATGTCCAGCATGCAGTAGGGGGTGCTGCGGCAGATCACCTCCTGCATGATGATAGAGATGCTGTAGACGTCTCCGCGGAAGGTTCCCTTGCGCTCCAGTGTCGGGTCCCGGAGCAGCTCCGGCGCCGTCCAGAATCGCTCTGGGGCCAAGAAGAAGAGACAGCTCAGTCACCTCTAGCCCTTCCCTTCCCCACATCACAACCCCTCCAATCTATCCCCACACAGGACCCAGATGCTCCCTCCCAAGCCCAGACACTCCACCCAGGGCACAGCATCACCTTCTGGGCCTCCAGCAGCTCGTTGTAGCCATGGTCCGTCACTTTCAGCACAAAGCGCCCATCTACCACACAGTTTCGTGACTTCAGCCGCCCGTGCACCACCTCCCGGTGATGGAGATATTTCATCCCCTGGGGAGGGAGAACCGAGAGCCAGAGGAGTGAGAACTGCTTCCTCTGCAGGTTGGTCCCCGGTGCCATCAGCAGCACTGAGATCCACTCTGTGCGAAGCCCCTGACCGTCACTTTCAGCACAAAGCGCCCATCTACCACACAGTTTCGTGACTTCAGCCGCCCGTGCACCACCTCCCGGTGATGGAGATATTTCATCCCCTGGGGAGGGAGAACCGAGAGCCAGAGGAGTGAGAACTGCTTCCTCTGCAGGTTGGTCCCCGGTGCCATCAGCAGCACTGAGATCCACTCTGTGCGAAGCCCCTGATTGGCCACATGGGCGATCCAGTGGATCCCTCTGACTGACCCATGATCGAGCGGTGTTTGTGTTCTTAGTGAACCCCCAGGCAGCAGTGGCTGGCAGGTCCAGCGGATCCATCCGCAGAATCAACTGATCGACTCAGTGGGTTTCTGGTCTGATCACCTTATTGAACCTGAAGGTCCAACTGGATCCCCCAACCTGATTGGTCCAATCAATCCATTTGCCCCAGTCTTATGGTCTATCCACTTGATCCCCTGTCCAGTTTTACTGCACTGGGCTGTGCAGGGGATCCCTACCAGCACCTCCCTGACCCAAGAGATCCTTCTGTCACCTCTAGATCTACCAACTGGCTTCCCTGGCTGTTGAGTGTGTGTAGCCAGCAGATCCCATGGACCCCCTCATCCGTTGCAAGAACAATCCCTATGGTCAGGCCAAAAGCTCTAGTGCCATTTGATTTTCTGCCCAGTGTGTTGTACCAGTGGATAATGGATCAACCCTGTGTCGATCCAAGAGATTCCTCCCCTCTGTTCTGACTGGCCATGGGGATCCTTGCCCAGTCTCTGTGTTGTACCAGTAGATCTCCAGTCAGAAGAGCAGCCCACTGGCTCTGTCTGATCCCATCACTGAGTAGACCTCTCTGGCCAATGGCTGGTTAGCCCAGTGGATCCCCTGGAAC